TAGCCCTGGCACGTCCATGCTACCCATCCACCTCGCATTGATCTCTTTCCAGAGCACGTAGAACGTAAGTTTCGTCTGTTTCTCTTAAAGAGTGGACAGCCTGAAAGAAGGGACTGTGTCTTTGGCCTCTTTGTATTCCCGTCTCTTAGGCCAGTAGTTAGAATCCACCAAGCATTCCCTGTATGTGTGTTGAATGAATAAACAGGAGAATAAACAGGTAAATGAGTTGTGAGATGCTGTGAAGGAGGCTAAGGCGGTAGGTACATCTGAAAACCAACCACAGCTGGACAGGTAATCTTACTCTGCCAGTGGACTCAGATGGCCTCCCCCAACACACATACAGTCTAGCCAGCTACTTTGCAAACATGGGCCAAAACTGCTAACAAGGACAAGCGGTTGAAGCCAACCACAGAAATCAGTGCTGGTAAGCAGAGGGGCCCGTAGGCTGTGTGGAAGACCACACTTGGCTCTGCATTTGCAGACCTGGCTTAGGCTGTTCCCAGGGAGAAATGCTGACACCATGACTTCAGGCCTGATGCTCAGGTCCTGAGAGTGGACAGTGGCCAGGCCCTCTCTAGGGCTATTACATCTGACCTCTTTTTCTTTTTCTTTGTCAAAAGATTTATTTATTTAAAAGGCAGCACAACAGAGAGAGGGGAGAAGAGACAGAAATCTTCCATCTTGTGGTTCACTCCCCAGATCGCAACAGCCAGGGCTGTGCCAGACAGAAGGTAGAGCTGGAGCTCTACCAGGTCCTCCATGTGGGTAGCAGGGGCCCAAGTACCTGGGCCATCTTTCATTGCTTTCCCAGCCATCAGAAAGGAGCCCATAAGGAGCGCTGGCCCTGCAGGAGGCAGTGTAGCCCACTGCACCACAGTGCTGGCCCCAAGTCTGACCATTTTAAAGACTGCATCCAAGGGCACAGAACAAGTGAAAGGCAGGGCCGGAGCGCGTCCTCCGCTGCTCCCGCCTGATTGAGCTGTGGATCACGTAGCTCGTTCTGCTCCACTCAGCGTTCATCCTCTGATGCTCAACACAAACCAATTTCTGAGCAGTTCTGGTGAGCGCCCTGCTCCCGTTGTTGATCTCCCAATTACACGATAAACACTTAACCAGGAGACCGTCAGCAGGCTGATCACTGGCATCGCTTTCCTCTTAACTTGGTGATCACCCTGGCCTGTGTTAGCTGAAAACAAAACACTTTTCCGTCTGGCCAGGCATCAGTTACTTCCCCCAGAGGGAAGGAAACCCTTCTGCTTTTGCCTTTGGTCCTAAAATTTCTGTCTTGGGGAGAATTACTGGGATGATCTAAGTGAGAGTTAAAGGTAAGTCTCTGATGATATTAAATAATGTGACATCCATAGAGCTAGGAGTGCCTGATGATCTGTTGTAACAAATTCCCAAAATGTTTGAAGTCCCTGTACCTACACTGAACACAGGAGAAAAGGAACCCATGAGTTTTTACTTATTAAAATTAAGGCAAAGTCCAATAACCTCCAAAACTGAACATGATGCTAAACTGGAACAAAGAGTTTAAACTCAGGTTAAATAGTCTCCCATCCCCTCTCCTCCTCCTCCCACTCAACCTAAAACTTGGACTACACTACTCTAGATGTCCCTACTGGAAAAGAGAATGGAGAGAGAAAGGAGAATGGTAGACAGAGACAGACATCCAGTCTATATATCCACTCAACCCAAGAAAGAAGACAATAGGACCCCTTTAGGGTACCACCCAGTTTTTCATTTCCACCTCTTGGCCCCTCTGAGAGGAAGAGGAAAGTGTACCCAGCAGTAGACTTCAAATCCAGCCCGTCTTAGACTCATTCAAGGAGCGTTAGTAAGACACCAATTCCCAGGACCCCTGGTATTCAGAGTTAGCAGCTCTGCCACAGAACCCAAGAATCTAAATTGTAATTAGATTCTCCAGATTGAGAGTGGATCCAAGGAAAACCCTGGCAGTGTCGGGAGCCAGCATGGCTTGGAAAGGAATCGTTTCATGATCAATGATTTATTGTCCTCAAATTCACAGGAAGTAAAAATCCTAGGTGGCTACACCTGAGAATCTGCACAAATGCTTGGGACTTCTTTCCGTTAATGCCAGAGGCTAAGGTGTAGTAAGCAGCGGCTATCAAGAACCAGATGGCCTTGCCGTTTGTCTTGAGCAAGACAAGTGCACCCAGCAGGAGTGCATCAGCCTCCTGCACCTCTGATGAGTGCCTCCACCAACGCCACTGCCGGGGGCCTGCAAGAAAGAAACCATGGTCCCTGCTCTCCCAGGGCACCGTCTAGGATCTTCATCCCACCCAACCTTTTGGCACCCCTTAGACAACACTTTTCTAAAGTTGCTCTTATTTCCGCTTTCTGACTTAAAAAAGAAATGAATATACAATAGTCATTTGGGTATTTAAAACCCTTGTTCTCCAGGAAAATCAGCTCAGTTGGCTATATTTGTGGAAGGTCTGGCTTTAAAGCAACTGATGCATTCGAGCCCTTTAAAAGCACATATAACATAAATAATATCTAATCTGTTATCAACATGAATAACATGTATAGGACACTACTTATACTGAATTTGCTTTGGCTTTATGTGGCTATTTGTATAAGGTGGTTGTTTTGAGGTTTGGATGGAGATGCTTGGGGGAGGGCACATTGAGTATTAGAAATTTGGAGCTCTGGTTCCTTTAAGAAATGGAGTTGATTTCATAAAAGCATTTTCTTCAGAAGAAAGGACTATTAGCGCATAAGGTAAGAGTGAGCTGACGCCCAAGAACATTCTGTGCCGATTTTCTAAAATGAGGAATCAAGCAGTGAGAAGGGAGACAGGAAGGCAGAAGGGCTGACGGCTCCAGACACAAGGTCAAGCGTAGCCAGGAAGTCAGGAAACAAGAGCAGCAACGGGGAGCGGGCACAGAGGCCATGCGCACCTGTCGCCTGGATCGTAACCATAACACCAGGAATAGGTGGGATCTGGAACTTCAGCGTGTTCCAGAACATTCTGGAGATGGAAGTTCACAGATTTCCTGCAGCTATGAAGGAGATCAGCTGGGGTAGCAGGGTAAACACATGTAATTTGAGCAAAGAATTTCGAGGTAACTTTCACCTCCAGACGTTTGTATTCTTCTAAGAAAAATGCCCAGGTTAATTAACCCTCTGTTGCACACAGATGTGGAGCTCTGGTTTGTGGCACACACTGGATTGCCTGTTTAGGGACAGTGCAAAAAGCCCCTGCCCGAGGTCTGAATGTTTGAGCTAAAGGGACTTGAGTAGGTCATACGGTCTCTCTGAGTGCAGCTTCCTCTCTGCAGGACAAAGTCTTCGATCTGTACTCACCTACTGCCCTCTCAAACTTCTTGCAAGAACTTAATGAAAATAAAAATACGCTTTGTGGGACAGGCATTTAGCCTAGCAGTTCAGGTGCTGTTTGGGATGCCCACACTCCACAATGGAGTGCCTGGGTGTGCCTCCGGGCTCTGGCTCCTGCTAACGTGCACCCCGGAAGACTGCAGTTATGGCTCAAGCAGTTGAGCTTCTGCCACCCACGTGGGAGATCTGGGTTGTGCCCCCAGCTCCGAGCTTTGGCCTGGTCTAGTCTCTTCCACCGGGGGCATCTGGGAGTGAACCAGCCAGTAGAAACACGGAAGTCTCTCTTCATCTACATCTATCTTTATCAAATGAGGTTTTTACAAGTGCACTGTTCTCTAGAAATACCTTGTTATGCCCTGGTGTGACCATTCCTGAAGAAGGCAGTGTCGGTGGTGCTAAGCTACCTCCGCTGGGAGCTCTCTTGTTGGTGCAGTCTTTGTGCTAGGAGGAGTTAACTCATCTCCAGGGGGGCCTTGCCTGAAGTCTACCCAACCCCAACAGCCTCTTCCTAACACAGGATGCTCCTTGACGATCTGGGATGGGGTCTTAAGGGAGCAGGGCTTTTAGTGGGGTTGCTCCCTCCGGATGCGGCATCATGCCGTCCTCACTCATCCAGACCCGGGTAACCTAACGTCACAGCTGTAGTGCACCGATTCTGCCACTAGGGGACACTGTAGCAACCAGCAGGAGAAGTCCTTCTCCAGTGGGAACCCTATCAACTGTACAAGCTCTTCATCGACCCAGAAGATCGTTACGGTTACAGAGCTCCCAAACCACCATCCCTCACCCGCATGCCCTGCCTTGGGCTTGCCCCGTCAGCTCCAGCATTCAGAGAACTGCGGGCAGGCTCTCTGCTTGTTGGCTTGCCTGCTAAGCTTTAAAGGTTGCCCTGAAGCTAAGCTCTTCAAGACACATGATTTAAGCATCTCTTTCAGCTATTAGATATTGTTTTACAAATTGGGCTGTTCTCTCTGAAAGATGAGCTGGCAATTTACTTCCCTTGTCCTCTCCTTAAACTTAAACTGAACTGTAAAACAGCCATTTGGTTGTTTGGTGCAATTGGGAGATTATTTTGCACAAGAAACGGATATCCGTCTTCTGGGTCCCGCCGAGCTTGCTTGGGCAATTCTTAATGGCCGCAGTGAGGACGACGGAACACTTGAGTAGATGTTCACCTCCTTCCGAAAGGCGGGCCCTCTGTGCTCTATTTGGGCCTTTGCCTCTGTAATCACAGCCTTGGTAAACCAGCCACTAACTGCATTCGTACATCTTTGGCCCATGAGGAAGAGATTTTCATTAGCCCCATTTTACTGATAAGAGAGTCGAGGCCCAAGGAAGACAGGCAGTTTGCCCAAAGTCGATCAAATGAGTGAGTGGAGGAGCCAGACCATGATCCCAGCTCTTTGGTCCTCGCCCCCATTAAACTAGATACTGTGTGGTTGGTCCCACATCAGGTGGGGAGGGGGAAGCGGGGCGATGCAGAGTCCCTGTGCCCACACGGGTTGAGACCCTGTGAGGATTTCGGACAGCTCTTGATGAGGTCTACCAGGGCCTCTAAAACACCACTGACCCAAGGGGCTCTGACGCAGAGTCGGGGGAAGGCTGACTTTCTGGAAATGGCCTCTCTTCTTGTGCAGGGGGCCGAATGTTCCCTCACCCTCAAGACTGTGCCCAGCACTTGATGAATGGAGACACCCTGAGTGGGGTGTACACCATCTTCCTCAACGGGGAGCTGAACCAGAAGCTGCAGGTGTTCTGCGACATGACCACGGACGGCGGCGGCTGGATCGTAAGCACACGCAGCTCCTCTCCTTGCATCCCGAGGGTTCTAGCCCGCCCCACTCAGCAGCTGTCAGCCCAAACCTCACCATCCTTTGGCCCTCCTTGCCCCCGCCCCTCCACATCAATTTGGGGGCTCTTCAATGCCCTCAGGGCCCTCTCCAGCAGACCAAGCAGGGGTTGGCCAGGCAAAGAGTGGAATAAGCACATCAAGGCTGCGACAGCTTGGCCCAACAAAGGGCCCCAGGATGGCTGTCTCCCTGCCTACCCCTGCATTGATGCATTAGTGCATTAATTAAGCATTAGTGAGGAAGGGTGGCTGAGGCGAAAGCAGCAGTTCAGACAGGCTCGGGGACCTTGTCTGCTGACGGCTGCATCTGGAATAAAGCAGTGCAGGAGGAGGTGAGCCTCTCGTTAGGGTCCTCCTGGCGAGGGTTGCACGGCAGGAGCAGGAAAGGGACAGAACTCGGATTGCCACCTCCAGTTACAAGGGTCACATGTGTCCCCTCATCCTTCCCCGGCCTCGCTGGTCCATCCCCAGAGCTGCTGCAGCCTTCCAGAGGCACTGTGGTCAGGAAAAGAGAGACCCATCTTCCGTCCCACCCTTCTCCCATACCAGGTAGAGCAGGCTAGCGTGAAAGAAAATGGCAGCGTCACAAAGCATCCGCCTCCTATCGCAGGCCACTGTGAGGAGGGTTGAGTCCCGCAGCCTGGCCCGGGAGCAGTCCTGCGGGAGCTGACTCGGTGCGGGTGGAAGCCCAACCCCTCTCCTCTCTTGCAACCCCCCTCCAGCGCAGCTAATGCATCGCACTGGATTTTTCATGGTGCAAAATGAGTAGTTTCTGAACAGAGTTAAATAGTGGCTGAGCTCATAACAGCTACTCTTGGGACACATTGTCTTTTATGTGTCTGACATATCTGTGCCTCGTTCTTAAAGCATAATTGGAGACTGAAGCCGAGGCTGATGCATTGGAGGTTAAATGAAATCAGCAGTGAACCAGTGACTGATGCGCGGTTGCTTTGGTGGCGATGGGATGGAGACAGTTACTGGCTGATTTGCACTTGGTCCTGTCCTATTGGTGAGAAACGTTTTCCACCAGATTAATCTGAGAGCCAAGCCTATTTCCCCTGACTGCTTGGGAGCTCGATGTGCCTCCTGAACCCTTTGTACCTTGCAGGGGCGCAAATGAGTGTCACCATCACACCCCAGCCTGTGCACTCCAGGAGCAGGGCTCTGCGCAGCTCTGCAAAAGCTGCTGTGTGAACACCCAGCTCTGTTAGGACGCGCTCCTGTCCGGCCGGCTCTGTCACTGCAGATCTGACACCCAGCCCCGTGAACCCGACTCGCTTCAGTGCATTTTCCCCAGCGTCTCTTCATCCTTCCTCTGTCTCCTTACAGGTATTCCAGAGGAGGCAGAACGGCCAAACAGACTTTTTCCGGAAATGGGCTGATTACCGCGTTGGCTTCGGGAACCTGGAGGACGAATTCTGGCTCGGTAGCACCTCCCTCTGCTCTTACCTGCTGTGCTTTCTGGCTTTGCCATCTCCCTGCTTGCTGTGTCTGTCTGGGACTATCAGAAACCCTGTGTCTGCCGAGAAGGTGACAGCTCGTGAATTGCTTTCAGTGCCTCTTGCTCTGTTTGGCTCCACTATTGATCGGCTTTTATCTGACTGTGGTGTTTTCCTTTTGCTCTGTCTCTTCCCATCCTCATTAATAGTCTCTTATGCTGATAGCTCTTGACAAGAGCCAACTACAAAGGGAGCGCGTGGCCTGGTGGGGGAAGGAGCGTAAACGCAACAGGGCGGCTGGCCTCGCTCAGAAGCCAGGCGGCAGGCTGGCCTGCAGGCCAGGAGACGATGAGGCCAGGCACTCCCCTCAGGGCCCTGGAGAACGTTATGACCTGACTTGGGGGAACCAGAGTGCTGTTAGGGCTGACCAGCAATTTCCTAGAGGTCTGACACGGGGAGAGGTATAGACTAGAACCCACAGTGGCGAGAGCAGGAGAGTGCACACCCAGCCCGGCAGATGGCGGTGCCACTTGGGACAGCAGCTTGTCACCCCCACACCTCCCTCTTGGGGGTGCTGTCCTAGAGGTGGATAAGGGGCAGAGGCAAGGCAAACAGCCAGGGCCACGTCTGTGGTTTTCCATCAGCACGGTCTTTTACTCACACTCTGAATCCTAGCAAGGTTGGCCCCGTTTGTAAAGCGCCTCATTCACTCCACATCACCACCTGGTGAATCCGAAACGCCTTCGCTCAGGCACAAAGCCCTCTGAAGTCTGCCTCCGGAGCCCACGCACCACCGCTGAGCGTCTCGCCTGCTTTCCCTCCCACTCCTCACCAACACCGACTCCAAAGCTGCAGAACCACTGATGCCCCCTGCTCAGGAACACTCGGCCCACTGTCTCCCTACCTTGAAATTAAAAGATAAGCATATTTTGGTGCAAAAAAAAATAATGAAATACATGCAGTGTTTTCCATAATAATCATTTCCTCTGTACTTCCTGAAGACCTGTCACGTATTCAAAGACCCAGACCACTTCTTCCTCCACAAAATCTGTCGTAACCATTTTTTCTTACCCACTGCTCATGGGAGAATTGACTACTCCTTCTTTTGTTTTCCAAATCACTATCCACTTGACTTTCTGTCTATACCATGGCTACAGCACGGAAGTTTCTTTCAGGCCTGGGACCACATCATATTCATCTTTTAATGTCATTGCCAATTGAAGTGTTTGGAGAATAGTAGGTACCTAAAGTGTAGTTGTCAGTCAGTGATAAGAATTTATTGAGTATGGGGCTGGTGCTGTGGTGCAGTGGGTAAAGCTACCGCCCACAGTGCAGGCATCCCATATCAGCGCCAGTTCAAGTCCCAGCTGCTCCACTTCCAATCTGGCTCCCTGATAATGGCCTGGGAAAGTGGAAGACAGCCCAAGTACTTGGGCCCCTGTACCCATGTGGGAGGCCTGGAACAAACTCCTAACTCCTGGCTTCAGATCAGCCCAGCTCCTGCTGTTGCAGCCATTTGAGGCGTGAACCAGCAGATGGAAGATCTCTGTCTCCTTTTCTGTAACTATGCCTTTCAAATAAATACATAAAACATTTAAGAATTTATTGAGTATCCAAGAGATACTCATATCTGTGTCTGCCATTGTAGGCATATATATAGATAGACAGACAGACAGACAGACAACCATGAGCAAGTGTAGAGAGAAAAGTAAAAAAAAAATGGAGGGGAATACCCTTACCTTCAAAATGCTTGCAGACAGCTTGGGAGACAAGCGCAGTACATGTGAACCCATGAACCCGATAAACACACAGGACTCATGTGGCCCAAACCTAGCGTGCATCATTTTCACAATGTTTGCCATATTTGTGAAAAATATCAACTACTGTGCATTGAAATTTTCTATGAATTTTTATTTAAATAAATAAATCTCATTTTAAAGATTTCCAAAAATGGAAGACTAGTTATCATGTGCTATCAATAAAAAGAATCCTCAAAGATAAATGCAATGAAAGACAACATTAGTATTGTTAAATGACAGGTAGATACAGGGTCACGAAGCCTGTTGGTGGTGGTGGTGGTGGTGTTAAAAATGCAGATTAGAACATGTTGCATGGTAAACAATTCCTAAGGTACTAGAACCAAACTGAGGCTGAGTTAAGATTAGGATCAGGGTTAATGTGGCACCTTCATCTATTAAGAAAGACTGAGGTAGGCTTTGGAAATACCTTTCTCCCCGTATGTTCAAAGCTATGTGGTGTTTATTTCTACAACATTTCTCAGATAATCAGAGATACCGTCCACACAGGGAAACAGTGTACCAACCCATGAGCTACTGACAGGAAGGCCACGGATGTTCAGAGAGGGAGGAGATCGGAGAAGGCAGGCATTGAGGGATACGTCAGAACTGTGGAAGGGAGGGGACAAGAAAATGGAGAAGGCAAGGGTCCTTCTCACCCATGCCAGCTGGGAGCTGGGAAAAACACTTCAACCAGAGGAAGGCGCGAGGTGCAGAGCAAGGAAAGAAGGAGTGAGGTTGAGTAGGTTGAGTGAAGGCACATAATAGAGTTGAAAGTCAGGAGGAAAAGTCGTGACTTGTGATACAGGCAACGGTGACCAGTGAGAAATCCTGATCAGAAACGTGGCCTGGTGACGTGTAGGTTGGCTGCAGGACCCAGGTTGTGGCAACACTGTGACCTGTGGTGTGTGTCCCAGGTTGGGTTCTTCGGAAGTGATTCATAGTATCCCTGTTTGAGTAATTTACTGGGATGGGGGCCAGTTCTTGTCCCAGTGGTTGGCCAGGCAGGAGTCCCTGCTGGGAGAAGTCCTCAGGAGAAGAGGGATGGAGGAAGCAGAGCTGTGAGCACTGTAAGCAAGTGATCTTGGCAAAGACGCCCGGCAGTCTGGTCCCTAGGGCAGCTCTGCAGTGCAGATCCTCAGGGTTGGTTCCCACTGGGGTCTCACTGGGGCGAGGAGGCAGGGCCTGTTGTGCCCATTGAGGAAGACGAGCCCCAAGGCATGAGTGAGGGAGAGCACAGCTTCCAGGATGAAATGACTCGCTCTGGGCAAGGCCGGTTTTCCAGAGAGGCAGCTGTGAGTCACTAGCAGCGGACACTCCCAGCAGCTGGGGGATGGGCCCGTCTGCCAACTGAGGGCATCACGCGTGGCACCACAGCAGCCACCCCACCTGTGCAAGAAGCTCACGTCCAGGGCAGACTACGGCCAACAAGCCACAAACAGCCTCCCCTCACCAGCAAGGTGCAGCTTTAAATCCCAAACAGGACAGGGAAGTCCAAAGATGTGGACGACCCTCAGCCAATCATTCCGTCTCTCTGGGCTTTAGTTACCTCTTCCACAAAACAAAGAATATGGCCTAAGCAACCTCCCAATTCCATCTCTGAAATTCTTTGGCATGAAATTCATGGCATGCTCAGATAGGTGCCGGATGTCATAGCACAGCAGAGGAACCCAGCACAGTAGGCAGAGAGAAGCCAGAGGACCCAGACACCACCAGCAATGCAAGTGAGTGGGCAAGTAGATCTGAACTGGAGAGTCCCAGGTCAAGTGGGCAAGAAAATATACATGAGAAAACATTACCAAGGGAGACCTGGGCTCCACAGAAATTCTAGACTTCCAAGGGGTTTGCATCAGGTAAGAATTGATTAGCCTAAGGTTTGGAAAGCTTAGAGGCCAAAGAGAGGGGGGGACTGGCCAGAAAGCTCTGTAGAGAGGCAAAAGTGCGATATGAGCAGGTAGATTACATGGAAGGAACTAGAGTCAGCAGGCAAACAACAGTGTCCTCCAACCTGGGCCTGGGAGCCCTGGGAGCCCTGGGAGAGGAGGAGGACACAGCGCCCTCTGCAGGCTCCCAGGCGGCCGTACGATGTCCAGACATCCCCTGCCACTCACACCCATGCTTTGCCTCTTGTCATTTCCTTCCAGTGCCATAGTGTGGCACAGAAGGTGGCAGGGGACAAGGCCAGGAATCTTGAGACCCGGGTCAGCCACGGGGCCCAGGAGAGTACAGCCCTTTGTGCTGTCTGTGGTGAACCCTCATCAGCGGACCTGGGCTGGCCTCTTTGCAGGAGGGAATTCGGAGTCTGACCAGGTCTGTTTGATATCAGTCTGAAGAGGGCTGAGGGCAAAAGGGATCTGCTTAGCTCCCTCCACGTCCCCCCCCCCCCACCCCATATCATCAGCTTCAAGGTCCCAGGTGCACTTTCTCTCCCATCTCTAACGCTGCTGGGGGCCAGACTCAGTGTCTTCTCTGCTCTCCCCCACAGGGCTGGACAACTTACACAGGATCACAAGCCAGGGCCGCTACGAGCTGCGCGTGGACATGCGGGACGGGCAGGAGGCGGCCTTCGCCTACTACGACAAGTTCTCCGTGGAGGACAGCCGAAGTCTGTACAAACTCCGCATAGGCGCCTACAACGGCACTGCAGGTACCGTGTCCCCCAGGCAGACCCCAGAGGCAGAACAGGGACCCCCACAATCTAGGCCGGAGTTGAAACAGGAAGCAGCAGCACCCAAGGAGTGCCTCCTCTGCTGGCAGTGAGAAGGCCTGGGTGGGAGTCACTGCTTGGGTCCCAGCCCTCCCTCCCAAACACTCCAGTGACCTGAAACCAATTTCGCATGACTTCGGTTCCCTTATCCGGAACATCGTAACTGTGCTCGGCAGAGTAGACCCCCAGAAATGCAATAAATGCAACGAAAGTGCTTTTAAACTTAAAAAAAAAAAAGTGCAATGCGGGAGCAAGGGATTGTCTTCCTTGTCTCCCTTAATCAATCTGTATTCTTACCCAGAGAGAACAGAGCTGATCTGTTGTCTGGGTAGAACTCTCCCCTGCAAAGACACCCGTGAAAACCTCCTTGGAGACTATGAAAACAGCCACAGCCCCCACTCGCGGAGCAGCCCCTCGCTACCAGCTGACTCCCCCACCAGCCGAGGAGCAAGGACACCACCCAAGAGCCCCTCGCTGGCCCCATTTCTTTATGTTCTTGGGATGAGGATCGCAAGCCTGGTTAGGTTTTCTGCCCAGATTTGGATGACATTTCTACCAAGCAGAACAGCTATCCCTGCAGGCCCTGTTGCATTAATAGTGGTTTTGGAACATCATATGCAGTCTACTTCTTGGGCTTGGCCAATCTGTTTCCTGTGTGCTGCTCTCCAACACATGTCATACAACCTCTTTTGCCAAATAGTCTGCTTTTTGGTACATGGAGTTACGGGCCCTTTTATTAGCTCCAAGTTTAGGCTAAATGCTAGTGCCTAATGTTAGCTAGATTTTTAGGCCTCTTGGAGTTAAGAAGAGTATCAAGGTGTTGCCCTTCCAATTACTACATCTGTTCAATTATTTCTCTTCTCATCCAGGCAGTGTTACTCCAGAGGGAAGATGCACTTTCCTTTGTTGGTGTTCTTATTTGAAATCATACCCATCAGCACTCAGACTAGCCTGAAGTGCCCCAACAAAAGATCCAATTTGCCACACTTTGGGCATAAAACAGCCATTGAAATGGAGCGTATTAAATACGCTGTCAGACTAAATCATTTCAAAACAACCCGATGCTATTCGCTCCCTAGGATTAGAATTGGGCCCGCTGAAAACCCACACTTATTTCTCCTACAAGCAAACACTTCCACTTCCTCACATGTCTGCCTTCTCTGCTCCTCTTCATCCTGCCCCAAGCCTACCCTCTGTCTGTCTCACTCGGGCCCTGCCCGCCACCTAGCCCCACAGAAAGCAGACTGCTGGATGGCGCCCTATTGTCAAGTCCTGGAGGCAGATCCTGCCAGCGGCTTCGCTGGTTGTCATGGACGCATTACGGGCCAAGTCCTCACTTTGAACATTCAGTTCACCTTCTTCAAAAGATGAGACCCTGAGCGTAGCTGGGCTGTCCCCTCCTACGAGCAGCTCCGTGCACTGGTTGTTCTTCCTAGAGCAAAGACAAAGGCCCAATCCCCTGCCCTTGTCTAGAAAAGCTAGGTTATGCATTTTTACTGACCCTACAAGCCATCTACAGTGTCTCCAATCCAAGGTCAACCCCGTCTCCTGGTCCCCATTTTTCAAGGATTCCGAGACCCAAGTCTCTCACTAGGAATCTCCTTCTATTAGAACTGAAAATTCCAAGTCAAGTGATCAGTAAGAGGTTCCTCAGAAGCTCCTTAAGGTCATAGTGCAAGTCGTGAGGATGCAGAAGCATAAAGTGTAGCCTCCAAAAGAACTAAGCATTGGGTACAATACATCAACCCCAGGGGGGGGGGAGGGGGAGAGGGAGAGGGAGTGAGGGAGGGGGAGGGGAGGGAGAGAGTGGGGGGGAGGGGAGGGAGAGAGAGGGAGGGGGAGGGAAGGGAGGGAGAGAGGGAGGGGAGGGGGAGAAGGAGAGAAATGATTAGCAAGGGACTCACCAGGTGGTAACTGGTATTGACTTGCAGTGTTAGGGGTGTCCCCAGAGAGGGGATGTGGGTGGCTGAGGAGGGTTTCACAAAGGCAGTTAATTAGGATCCTAAGGTAAGGAAAACAAACCCCCGGGACAGAAATCACAGAAGGGGGGCCGGCGCCGCGGCTCACTAGGCTAATACTCTGCCTGTGGCGCCGGCACACCGGGTTCTAGTCCCGGTCGGGGCGCCGGAGTCTGTCCCGGTCGCCCCTCTTCCAGGCCAGCTCTCTGCTGTGGCCCGGGAGTGCAGTGGAGGATGGCCCAAGTGCTTGGGCCCTGCACCCCATGGGAGACCAGGAAAAGCACCTGGCTCCTGGCTCCTGTCATCGGATCAGCGTGGTGCGCCGGCCGGCAGCCACTGGAGGGTGAACCAATGACAAAGGAAGACCTTTCTCTCTCTCTCTCTCTCACTGTCCACTCTGCCTGTCAAAAAAAAAAAAAAAAGAAAGAAAAAAGAAAGAAAGAAATCACAGAAGGGAAACTTGCTGTGGAGGAGGAGAAAGCTGTGGCCAACCTGGCTGACCCAGGCAGACTCGACTTGCAGAAGGAACAGAAAGAAGACTGGGGAGGGGTCTTACTGTGGCGTGAGCACAGGAACTTAGTCTGAGCGTGGTGGGCAGTGGGGAGCCGCTTGAGTCCCGGTGGGATCATGGAAGTGGGATTTTAGGAAGGCCAGTGTGACAACCACAAACAGGGTAAATTGTACCTGCGTGGAGAACAGAGACCAGCTGACAGGTCACAGAGGTCCTGACTCGTGTGCCAAGATTGAGAGAAAGGTGTGAACAGTGGTTTGAGCGAGCAGGAATCAGAACTTAGTGCATGCACTGCATATATGAGGCAGAAGAGGAAACGGAGCCAGATCCGGGAGTGACAGAGAGACCGGCACTAGGAGCACATCCGGGAATGACAGAGAGACCAGCACTAGGAGCACCTCTGAGAGCGGCGGGCAACACCAGAGCGACTGCCGGAGGGAGCGCTCGCTGCAGAGTCATGAAGACAAGTTCTGGACGCCAGAGGGACCAGTCGAGCACGCGCGAGTGGGAACGTGGGGAGAGACAGCACAGCCAAGGAACTGGCCCTCAGAGAAAGATCGCTGGAGAGTAGGACTAACGTGAGAACTGCTCACACGAAGACCAGGAGTATGACTGAGGGCGCACAGAGGTGGAGGTGCTCACACACAGAACAGTCCGTCTCTCCTGCCTTTTCCAGCGCCTCAAACAGATAAGAAAGAACCAGTGTGAGTGGTGGGATCAGCTCTAGATGGACACAAAACCTGAAGCCCAAGGAACCTGGTTCAGTCTCCTCTGCAAAACAGAGTTCAACCAGCTAAGAGTCACAGTGGGGGGCACGGGAAGGATTAAGTGGCCCCAGGAGGAACGGACTTGGAAGACGCAGGATCAGACCTGTGGTGTCTCCTAGCACAGCAACACCGGAAGCTCCTGAGATCACTTTCATTTGGTGCACAGCGAGAGTCCCTGCACAGCATCCCTAGCCAGAAATCCTGCCCAGAGGCAGCAACCGTGTCGACGAGCCTTCTCCGCTGACCTGCCATGCTTTTCCGTCTTCCTCTTTCCTGTGCAGCACTCGAGTTTGCTAACGCTACTCTTCATGTGCGGCACACAGAGTGTTCAATGCGGGGCTTGCAGTGTGATCTGATCAGGCCTGGTGAGCCTGGAGGAGGCTGGCCAGAAACTGCACAGTGGAGACCCAGAATGGTCCCAGTCAGCACGGCTCCTCACTGTCTCCACCAGCGTTCTGTGTGCCAGCACAAGCCCGGAGAAAACAGGCAGGGGTGGTCAGATGGGGCCACATGGGCAGAGTTCTTAGCAGACATTGAGAGGATTAGGGGGCGGGTCAGAGAAAACAGCACGGAAGTAACTGACCAAGCGTAAGGCGGAAGGAGGGTTCAGTACGGCTGGGCCATCGACCTGGGTGGAGACGAGAGAGAGAGGTGGGGAGACTTCATGCCACGGCCAGGTTTCCTGAGAGTGGGTCAACTGTCCAGAAAATCCTGACACACGAGTGCCAGCAGGAATCGCCTCACGGAGGTTGTTTTTTTTTTTTTTGGCAGGGGACTCCCTCAGCTATCACCAGGGACGCCCTTTCTCCACAGAGGATCGGGACAACGATGTCGCAGTGACCAACTGCGCCATGTCGTACAAGGGCGCCTGGTGGTATAAGAACTGCCACCGGACCAACCTCAACGGGAAATACGGGGAGTCCAGGCACAGTCAGGTGGGTGCCGCTCTGCCACCGCTCGGCCCGGTCCTGAGCTGCTGGACCCACGGTCCCACAGCTGTGTCATCCAAATGCACATGGCAGCCTTAGATTTCCCTTTTAAGAATCCATACTTACAGTCTTGAAAAAGGGCAGGGCAGAGCAGGAATGAGCAGCAGGCAAGGGAAACAGCTACACCCAGGAGCTAGGCTCTCCCTGAGAAGCCCTTAACGGCCAGGCAAGCTGCATTGCATTTCCCCACCTAGCCGACCCCCTAAGAAGCTTACCAATTCCAGGGACAGCTTCCCAGGCTCACCCTAATCCTCAGAGGGGCCCCAGCAGGGAGACGTCAGGAGAACAGCATGAACCAGACTGTCTTTCCCACCAGAGGCTACATGTCCTTGGGCTGGGTTGGGTAACTGGGAGACCAGCTGGACCAAGTGGGACTTACCCAGCTGTGACAAAGACCTGCACCCAAGGAAACCCCGTCACCCTGGTCAGATGGAAATGGTTGGTCATTTTAGGTAGAAGCCACATGAGCTCCATCAGGAGTGAGCAGTCACAGTTACACTCCACAATCTTTCCACGTTGCTGGGACTTTGTCACTCACCACTGTATACTATTCCACGCAACTCCTGGAAGCCAGAAACATACAGCTGGCCATGGGGAATGACTCCAACATGTTCTCAGTGCACATCCAGGCCACAGGCAAGTCTAAGAGAAGTGTCACTGGGAACTTGGCCAGAAAGCGCCACCTCAACTAAGAGGAGATAAATCCACAGCACAGACTCCCTGCTCCCAGGATTCCTCTTTTCCCAGGTCGGGCGTCCCACCAGGGGCAAGGGTGATCTAACACGCTCATCTTTCTCACGCCCAGGGGATCAACTGGTACCACTGGAAAGGCCACGAGTTCTCCATCCCCTTTGTGGAAATGAAGATGCGTCCCTACAACCACCATCTCGCGGCAGGGAGGAAACGGCGGGCCTTGCAGTTCTGAGCAGTGGGCGGCCAGGCCCAGCAGATCCCTGCTGTCATTTGTCTGTATTCTGTAACATGAACCCGGGGGGAGGGTGGTAGGAACGTGCTTCCCAACATAGTCAGTCTCTGAAGGAAGCAGGGGTGTCGCAGGGGTCCTCGACAGCCGCCTGCTCTCGGTTTCTGCTGCCCAGGAGCCTGGTCCTAGGTCTCCATCCTCCCTCCTGCCCAGTCACCCGTCAGCTTCCCCTCCTGGCCCACCAAGGAGGAAAAGGAGGACGTGTTGTTCAATGATTGTTCAAAGGCAAACGGCAGAGTGCAGGTTGTCAGAGTGACCAGCAGGCACTTCTTTTCCGCCCTCCTCCTGAGATGCCCTTCACCTTCCAGGTACTTGAGATCTGATCCTGGCCTTGGATGGCCAGGTTCTCACACCAACCCAGCCGAGAGCCGCAGCAAGAGAGCTTGGCCAGCAACTCCCCTTAAGAGCAAACAGATCGACCACTCCCAGTCCCAACAGCCTGAGGCCTTTGTAGTGGGCCAAAGAATCTTCTGGCTTGTTACCTTTCATGAGTAATGGCCTGTTTCCCAAGCCCAGTGGACCCTTTGCCTAATGCCTTCCTACCTTAGATCCCATTGTCCCACCAGCCTGACTACTGTTCCCAAGATGTCTCATGCTCCTGGCTCCAGGTACACAGACATAACACCCTCCCTCCGAGGAGTAGACAGTAGCTTTGTTGGGGGAAGATGGGTTTTGTTTTTAGCACTTTTAAGTCAGGCACTGAGGACAGAAGATCCAGAAATCAGGGCATCTGCCATACAGACTGCAGGTCCCGTGGGAAGCACAGATCTGTTTTCTCTATTTCTGGCCCAATTTGTCATGGATTTTTTTTTTCTGAATTGCAAACTGAAGGCCTTATTCCTATTTCCAGCCAGGCTCCACTTAGTGTAGGTGGTTTAATCAGAGTCAAAAGAAGAAGTTAAGGGACCAGCCAGCCTTTCCCCTCACTGCTAGTCCTGGGAGCAACTGGAGTTTCTGCTTTGTTTTTATTTTTCTGTCTTGGCCCTGTGGGGACCGGGAATGACCCCTTTAATGAGGTGAGATTACGAGCAGGCTTTCTCCATCTTCCTTTATTATTCTGCCTCTGAGAGGAAAAATGAAAAGTGCCAGAGGAAATCACATCAGAAATCCAGGGGTGAGGAGGGGAGGCCTGGCCCTGCCTCCTGCTTGATGAGATGTGCTGTCTTCACCACCGTGACTTGATTTTTAAGTCCAAGAGAGCTGAAACTTCTAGAGGCCGTGGACTTTCAACTTCTCCAGGCAAATGTTGGCTGCACCCATCCTACAGCAGCGCCCAAATCCATGCCCAGTTTCCGCAGCTGCCTTCTCCCTCTCCTCCTTGGTCCCGCAAGGCCCCGTTCAGCTTTCAGAGCTGTCCACGATTGTCAAGCTGGGCTATGTTGTACCTTTGCCACGAAGTGGCTGGGTGAGCCTCAGAGTTGGCCATTTCCTAGTGGGGACATTCTGCCCATGCTGTGACGACCAGGAGGACACAGTCCCTCTGGCAGGGGTAACACTTCTGATGACATGAGGAGGAAGACATTCTCCCTGCTGCAGATTCCAAGGCCTTGTCCACTGCTGTGGGATGCCCATTACTGACACATCTGGGGCTGAAAATATGGGTGACATTTTCATTTCTCGATTCACCGTGGCTTCAAAAAGCTAGGATGATTAGGAAGAAACAGAGTAACCAAGTAAGATTTGGCTAGAGAGTGGGGTAGCAAGGACCAGCAGGAAGCACACTGAATGAGGCATCTGGGGCTGAGGTGGGGACCACCTGTGCCACGGTAGCCCCCTGCCATCAGGCAGGCTGCTTCACCTGTCTAGGCCTCAGTGCCCTCACCTGTTGACTGGGAGGCTGGACTAAGATTATTTCTAACTCCCCTTTTAGTTTTTATAGCAAATAATGCTAGCGTAGTCTATGGTAGGAAACCTGAGTAGAAATGGGCATTGGTGGGAAAGCACAAATATTTTTACCAGGAGCTCTGTTTTATGAAGGAAAAAGGAAAAAGGAAAAAAGGAAAAAAGGAAAGAAGGAAGGAAGGAAGGAAGGAAGGAAGGAAGGAAGGAAGGAAGGAAGGAAGAAGGTAAACACACACACAGACATTGCAGAAAAGATAATGCCAAGGAAAAGGCTAAACTCATTTTGTCAATCAAAGCAGAGCTCAGGGACCTGGGTGTGCCAGTACAACCCACCTCATCGAGGGAACTGAGATGGAAAAAGATTATGTGTCATCAAGTCAGGTGAAAGAAAGATCAGTGAGAACCAAACCTGTCTTCTATTGGAACCATTTTACTCTATGGAACATTTTTATAAATAGTGTCAGTAGCATTGCTTAGATTCATTTTAAAGAATTTTAAAGGAAGAAAGGGACTTCAAAAATGAGCTTATCCAACCCTCTATAAAAAGATTTATAGATTCCTTTTACTAAGTAGAGGGATTTATTCATGAATTCTCACCATTTTGCAGAGATTCTATGTCCCACTGTCTTCCCAAGAACCATGGTCAACTTGGCTCAAAGCTCTTAACGTTATTTATTTAGCTTCTCCTTAACTAAGAGGCTTCTTCACCGAGTCCCACGTACCCTGTTCCTCCAAGCTCTTGGACTTTTCCCAAAGGAGGTCCCGGGGAGAAAGACACACAGAGTGCCCACCCTAAGCACGCGGCCATTTCCCTAAGAGACTCAAGAGGGATGGGGTGGGCCAGTCCAGAGGGCAACTGCACAGCAGATACATCAGTGTGTGTAGTGAATCACAACCACCATCAACACACCAAACAACCAAGGATGCCTGCAGCAGTCTTATCGCCTACAGCCAGGTCTCTCCTCTTGCGTTTACCCACCATGCCAAGGTAGTTTCCAACATTTTAGGCTCTACAGTTGTTTCTGGAAGGTGCAGTGGTCAGGTATAAAGAGGGAGGGGGAAACCTCTGGGCTTTAGAAAGATTTAACAGGCTAGGGGGTGTGCTGAGTGTGACCACTAGGTGGCGCTCACTGCACCCAGCTGCCTTCTGGGTGAAACACCCTGGAGGTTGAGAGCCACAGGTTCTCTGAGCTTCCAGAAGGACTTGTACCAAACCAGGAACCAGGAAAACGGATCAACGAATTTGTACAGAGATTGATTTGTGAAAGAACAACAACAAAATGGCAGCAAGGAAATGCAGAGCAAACTTCCATGAATGTTTAAATCCACCCCACCCCTCACCTACCCACTCCCCCAACTCATTAAGTGCTAAGACACCCACCTAACATCCTTTGTCCCTCCACCTGGGAGCCATCCAGCCCCTTGCAGACTGGAAACTCAAGACCAACCTGAAAAACCAAGTTTGCCAGTACACTCAATGCCAAATCAAACAATCCTAATGGCATTTTTCCTTGTAAACTCCCACACCAGAACAGAGCTATAGATTCAGGGACAAAGGGTCCTTATGGACTGTTTCCAAAGAGCTCTTGTAGAATCGACTGTGGAGAAAGGGCCTTGGGCTCCTCTGTGTCCTCTCTCTGAGGACAGCAATGCCCCAGCTGAGGGCTAGGTGAAGATTCACAAACACTCCTGGGACAGGAACATTTTTCTCATTTTTTTTAACCTCCACCCAGAATTTCAGGAAAGGTGGAGCAATTTACCCAGGATGTGTGCTTTTCTACTGCTGTTTTCTTATCACCAGACTCCTGTTCAATCGGATTCCCAGTTCCATCTCTTTCCCTTCAAAGCAGGAGGAAGTGGGAGGGGCACGTTCCACCTCTGCTTGTATTTCACTGTCCACTCTTAAAACTTTGATAAGGAACCTCTGAAAGATTCAAGCTTCAGCTCCATTCCAGTAATCCCACTGGGAGTGGGTGAATCTGTTTGTATTTGCCTTAAACCGGCCAAGGCTGCAAGAAAGACCCTGGGGACGCCAGACACCTAGTGCGGATCTGTGACATTTTAGGGTCTGCCTCTCTCACCCAGACACCTGGAGCTGCATACCCAGCCTGGGGGGTGGTTATCTGGGGAATAATGACAGAGGGATCCGCTCCGCTGAGGATAGGTGAGTCACAGGGCTGGCTTCTGGGTTGTGCTTGCAGCCTCTTTGACCATGTTTCTGAAGATCTTTGCCTAAATGAGTTCTCGAATCTTTGCTTTGTCCATAACCCAACTATACACACACACACACACACACACACACACAAAGCTTCCCTTGACAACACTGGAACATTTTGACACCATCAGATCAAGTGACAACTCGCAGACCAAATGAAAACTTCCAAAAATAGGTAGGGAAAGCAACTCTAAAATGCTTCAAGAAGATGTGTTGGTGTGGATTCGGGTCCAATTTGTGGGGTAATTGACTCTGGTTCTTTCTAAGTGTATCCCACATTGGATTTGCTTAGGCCAGAACAAACAGCTGAGAAAAAGTTGAAAATAAAAGAAGAACCTGATGGGTCACTGGAGATTAAACACAAGTCTTCTACAGATAATCCCGCACTAAACACGCAGAGACCATGTGTGCAGGCTCCTCAAGTCCTGGCCTCCTTCCTCCCAGCGGAACACCTGTCCATTGGCCCATTTCATCTGCAGAAAAGCTAAGTCCCCAGAGTCCTTACAATAACAACTAAAAAAAAACACAAACCCACAGGAAGCAGAGGGCCTTTCTTTGCTGGCTCCGCCAGTCCTCCCTGGGCCTTGCTTTCTCTTCCCCAGCAGTCACAAGCCTGATTTGTCATCTGCGGCATTTCTGATTAATTTTTCAAGGTCACCCCTGTCTGAATCATGACTTCATTGCACCTGCAGCTCTTCATTGTCCAAATGTCCTTGGCAAACCTCATAACCTCTGGACAGTGTTGCATTTTCTCCGCTCAGGAAATCCTCCCTCCTTCCCCAAGCTTAATAAGGCAACTGCAGGACATCCAAATAACACGGCCCTTGTTCCCCAAACTCGGCCTCTTCTGTTAACTTAATAAAACAGCTCCCTGTTGTCCAGGCTATGAGGCTGGGCTAATACTCAGTTTCCAGTTCAGAAACACTTAACACTTTCAGCCTCCTGGGGGACCTCTCGCAGGCACTGGCCTTGGCTCCTTAGTCCCACGGGCACCAGAGCAGCAGCGTAAGCATCTTTCTCTGGGAAGCAAGCCACACCGCCAGGGGTCCTGGAAGCCCTGGCCCACAAGAGAGGGTTTGGGTCCAGATACACAGCCAGGAAGTGAGTACATGGATAAGATCTCTTGTTTTCTTCCCATCACTGGGTTAGCAGTCCCCAGAGAAGGCAGGTGCTGCTATAAAACATCCAGTTGTTGACCAGTAATATGCACAACACTGCCTGTAACAGCCACGTGGTAAACCAGAAGATGCAATCCTCCCACTTCACACTCAAGAAGACTGGGGCCACGATGGGTTAGACAAATTCCCCGGGGGTTCACACAGCCAGTTAGTAAGAGAGCTGAGGTCAGGTCTGCTGTAGACTTTTCAATGTGTTTCTCCTCTGATGAAGATTAAGAGAAATGGTATTTATTGCACACCTACTACTTATGGACACTGTGCTAAGGGTTTTTTCATAGATGGCTTTATCAGGTCCTCACCACAACCTAGAGTCAGGTTTAATCATTGTCAAGAGGGAATGGAGCCCAGGAAGGTTAAGTAACGTGCCTGACAACGCACAGCTACCAGGTACTATTATAACCTGAACTTCTTAATCCAACTCTAAAGCTCCGTTTTAGCTACCATCTTGGATTTTTTTAGTGTTCTCCCTAAGGGGGCCTCTGCTGTCACTTCCTCTCACTCTTTTGCATGGTCTTTGCCATCTACTCCAAGGGACCCTCAATCTGTCCATCAGGGGACTAAAAAACACTGGGAAACTCTTTAAAAAATTGGGGAGGTGAGGAAAGGGTCCACAGCAGGTTTGGAGGGGAAGCTAAGGGCCAGGACACAAACATAATTTCCTCCACTCCACTCTTACGAGGACATCGCAGCTCATCTCTCTGTCTCCCAGCATCGAGAGTAGATATTCCAGAGTCATTCTTCTCAAACGGGAACAGGTGGTGCAGCCGGGGGTAGGGAGGGAGGAGCCACAGAATAAGTACGGTACACTCTCCAGAGCACCTCTGTTACTACTGAATTTGGGGAGAATGGGGTTGTCTGGTGAACGTCATCAACCCAGTACAGTTGCAGCAAAGGCAAGCACACCATGAATGTGTAAGCTCAAACCAGCAGGTTGTATATGGACTTGGAAGGCCTCCTCCCAGACTCCCAGGGGCACACCAGCGCAAACTGTTGAGGAATGAGGCTAAAAGAAGGCAGGACAGGAATTTTATTTATTCCCTGGTTTCTTTTCCTCACGCACTACCTGCCCCCCGTCCCTGGTGGGTGAAGGGGACTCAGAGGACAGTTGGCCACACTCAAATCTCTTTGCTTCTTGGGGGAGTGGAGAAGATCAGTGTTTGGTATTTTTAGCTGCCAGGCTCAAATTCCAGAAATGAACCCCTTTACCCACACTGAACAATGACAATGTAAAAAGAAATGGATCTTCCCAAAAGAGAATCACTGCTTTGCATGGTCCTCTACAGCGTAAGGACAGCTTGAGCAGCAGTGACACCTATGCGGTAGGTGCACTACACACAATGGTTCTTGCAAAAATATCAACCCACCAAGTAGTCCTGTACCAAACCACTGGCACCCTGAGGCTAGGGTCACCCCATGGCCTCACAGACTCAAGGTGCAGAATTTTCTTGAGTCTGTTCTTGACACATCGTTCTTCTTTCCCGTTATCCAAACATAACACACCATATACCCAATTTCTCCAACCTCAGCTACTGTCGAGGTTCCTGGGAATTCTCAGGTACCCTAACAAAGGCACCACGACTTGGAGGGAGCCGCTACCTGGGGCTCCGGGCAGCTGAAACCCATCCTGGTGGTCTCTAGATCATCCCCCAAAACATCACACCCCCAAGTCCCCCATTGCCTCTGAATTTGAGTTTGTCATTTTAACCTTTAACAGCTTGTCCAGGTAAAAATAACAGAGACCAATCTACTGACTTTGCAGCTACAGTGTGCTTGAGAAAGTATGACTTGTGCTGAAGACTGGAGGGAAGAAAAGAGAAGGAGACGGAGTCTGCACTCCTCAGGCGATGCGCACGTTGATGAACTAAAACAAAAATACAAATGCAGAGGAGGAAAAGCCAGCTCACCCATCCTCTCAATCTCTGCTTGTTAACCATTGTTAACTAGTATTTTTAGTCCTGGTTGCTTTTAGCCTCTGTATAGTTCCTTTTTTAAACACATTTTCTATACATTAATAAAAGATCCTGAAGGACTGATGTGAGTCTTGCGAGTCGTGGGAGGTCATGGAGCGGACCCTTCTGAGTGATGGGGCTGCCTCTTCCCTGGGCCTGCTCTCCTCACTCACCTCTGCTCCACCGCTCTGGGTAGGCTGTTCCCATCTCTAGCAGCCCTCTCCCCACCCGTGTCCCCAGTCCTTTCTCCCACTCTTGTTACACACCCTCCTCCTCTCTCCAGCGTCTCCTCTAGCTCTTCCATCCCTAGCTCCCACTCCGAGTTCTTCATCTCACCCTCATTCGTGCTGTCAGACAAGGGCCGCCCATGGGTGGTAGCCTCTACCGCCACGCATCGCTGGGACTGGTGCTACCTGTGCCTGTGCGTTCTCCATCAGCCACATGACAGCGCCTCACTGTCTGCCTCCTGCCCCCCTTCCCTCCTGGATCCCTCAACCCTGGCGTGCCTGGTGGTAGCCAGATCTCCAAGGCTCTAGTGCCATCTATGGGTACAGGCAGAAAATATTTGGCAAGCCCAACTTGTGAGCCTTGGCTTTGCAAGTGCCCCTCACAGCCAGCTAATTCACCACCAGCCCCGTGATGACAGCTCCCATGACCACCTGCTTGTGAGACATGGTCACCTGCGAAAATATTTCCCCCCTTGCTCTCCTTTCAAAACAACCCCCAGTGCACAACCTCCGCCCAAGAGGAGGGTCAAGAGGGAATCTTCCATCCAGCTCAGTGCACACACAGTCAGGAGGGACACAGATAACCAGGTAGCAGAGCGGGACGAGGGCCAGAACCCAGCTCTTGCCCCTGCTGGAGTGGAGGGGAGCTTTCAGGAGCCGGCCTGGGGGAACTCACGCTGGCTGGGTCTCAGGACAAGAGCAACTGTGCAAGCGGGAAAGGTAGCAGGAACATCATTAGCAAGTCAGGGGACACAAAACAGCAGCCGGAGTAGGAGCAGGGCCAGGGTGGTGCAGGGTTCCTGTTTGCTGGCCTCCCTGGGCCCAGGCCAAAAAGTGAGTGCTTTAAAGACGGGGCAGAAACCCAGCCCTGGAAAGAAAGCAACCAAAGCCTCACTCCTCTTCCATCTCTCTGCAGCCGTCTTCACCACCCTGGGGCTGTGTCAGACACAGCCAGCCAGCGAGCAGCCCGGTGACAGCTGCTGCAGAAGGGGTCCTGGGAGACCAGGGGGTAGGGCACTTTTCTTAGCTCTCGCCCTGGGCCTCACGCCCTGCCCCCTTTATTCTTCACTTGTTTACATTAAAGACAAAACAGACTTCTGGAATGTCAGACAGCAGCGGCAGCGGCAGCAGCGGCATTCCCTGGCCCTGGTGGAGACAAGGCACCAAGGAAACCCAGGCCCCAGGGCTCCAGCAGCCGAGCAGCAGCTGTTGTAGCATCCAAATTAACAACCTGCCGCCTCAATCTTGTCCCGCGTGTGCCTGGGATCTGGAAGGGAAGCTAAGGGGATATCGTGGCACCTAAGGGACCTTCCGTAGCGACTACTCCGGAGCTGGCTGAGCACTGGCATCACGCTCTGACTTAAATGAGTATAATTCACCCACAGTTTAAGACCTCTGGGTGCATTTACAACCATCTGAACACAGATTTAATTATTGCTGTGTTGTGGGAACTGAGAACTGCCACGGGTAAAATTAAAAGTGGATTATTAAGCAAAAGCAATGCTGGCAGCATCAGTAATCAGTGCAATTACCCAGATGCAGCTTCTCCCCCACGGTGTCTGCTGGCCCGAGGACCTGTGCTTCTGCAGCGACCACTTGCCCGTCAGCCATAAGACAGCACCACAGAAGGGGGGCCCTTGGGGACTCCAGCTTCCTTCTCACACAACATGAACGATACACCCCACTGCCTGGGCTTTCAAATCATTATAAAAGGACATGCATTGGAAATGCAAGCGGCCACATAAAAGCATTTGTTGCTCCTCCTCACTCATCTCACCATCCACATTCAATGAAAACCTACTACATACTCGAATCCACACTAGACAGACACAAAATGAGAGGCCTAACCTCACCCTCACCGAAGTGATCTGATCTCGGGGCCGGCACTGTGGCATAGCGGGTAAAGGCACCACCTTCAGAGCTAGCATCCCATATGGGCACTGGTTCCAGTCCTGGCTGCTCCAGCTCTCTGCTGTGGCCTGGGAAAGCAGTAGAAGATGGCCCAAGTCCGTGGGCCCCTGCAGCAAGCGTGGGAGACCAGGAAGAGGATCCTGGCTCCTGGCTTCAGATCCGCCCAGCTCTGGACATTGTGGCCATCTGGGGAGTGAACCAGCAGATGGAAGACCTCTCTCTCTGCCTCTGCCTCTCTGTAACTCTGCCTTTCAAATAAATAAATTTTTTTAAAAAAAGATTTGATCCCTAATTTTTTTTTCATTGAAAAGCTATTCTTTCATTTAGTCCCTCACCATTAAATTCTCACTTACTAAATTCACATTATATGCCCAGAACTTTGTTTGATACCATTCTGTATTAGGTTTTTCCAGAGAAATAGAACCAAGGAGAGAGGGAGGAGGAGAGGGTGGAGGCGGAAAGGGAGGGGGGAGGGTTAGGGTTAGAGGGGGAAGAGAGGGAAGAGGAGGAGGAGGGGGAGGGGAGAGAGGAGAGGGGACAGAGGACTGGGAGGCAAACATACAAGGGAAAGCGATTGATTGTGAGAAATGGAGTCACGTCCTTATGCAGCCTGCAAAGCCCCTTGACCTGTCATGTGCAAGTCGGAGACTCAAAGGCCCAAGAACCAAGGAAGCCCATTGTTGTAAATCCAAGTTCAAAGAAAAAAGAACCATGTCCCAGCTCAATGCCCTGCCAGGAGCTCCACAGGCGGGCAGGAAGAGGAGCTAACTCTTCCTTCCCTGGTGGCTGGGCGGGATAATGCCCACTCACACTGGGAGTGCAGGTGATTGGCTGGATAATGCCAACTCACATTGGGGAGTGCAGGTGATTGGCTGGATAATGCCCACTCACACTGGGGAGTGCAGGTGATTGGCTGGATAATGCCCACTCACACTGGGGAGTGGGGGTGGCTGGGCTGGATAATGCCCACTCACACTGGGGAGAGCAGGTGATTGGCTGGATAATGCCCACTCACATTGGGGAGTGCAGGTGATTGGCTGGATAATGTCCACTCACATTGGGGAGTGGGGGTGGATTGGCTGGTAATGCCCACCCACACTGGGAGTGCAGGTGATTGGCTGGATAATGCCCACTCACACTGGGAGTGCAGGCTGCTTTACTCAGCCCACCAGTCCAGATGTCAAGCTCATCCCAACACGAAACAGACACCCACCCAGAAACAATGGTTAGTCTGGGCACACCGAGGTGCTGTCAGGGTGACACACGAAATTAACCACCACCAGTTACCAGGTGGTAACTTGGCTCCTTTCCCGTGGAGCCCCCTGCTGGCAGGGAGAGTCCTGGTCTAGAACAGGGATCCAGAAACTATGGCCTGTGTGCATTTATTCCCTTTTTGCCTCTTCCCTTTCCCACTATTTTTACCAAAAATCCCTACCCAATCCAGATGTTCCACACATTTGTAAGGCCCCTCACTTCCAAGCTTTTAGGGTAAAATTCCCAAATGCACATTTATGTGTTTGTGAGGAACTAGAAAAAGAAACAGAGTAAGAACTCAGTAAATTAGGATGAGCTCCGTCAGTTCAATATTTACAACGTTGATTTTAAGCCAGACACATTTCAAACACTAAGAAAAAGTGGCAATGAAGGATCTTCTTGAATCCCAAAAAGCTAACAGAACCATTTCCAAGGATGGTTACTATGGAGCCTTCGGAGGGTGGGGGTGACAGCGAGGGGGCACCCAAAAAGGTGCTGACACTCTTAGAAGTTGATGTCCTTTCATGCCTTAAATAAAAACTGCTATCGTCAGAGATCACTGCTTAGCTTCACTCACAGCTGTGTGAAAGCTTCGGTTCTGCCGTTCGTGACAATAAGCTCTTTGGAGGTTTCTTGGAAACAAGCATAAATTACAAGAAATGCAGCAGTAATTATGAAAATTCAATATGCTGGCTGTCCAGGAAATTTAAAGATGCAAGAAAAACCATGAGAACTACGAAGAAACGTGTACCTCATGCCAGCACGCAGGCAGTACCTGGCTTGATTTGTGATCCACACACACACACTCTTTTTATGACTTTATTCTGTAAATAAAACCCACAAAGTCATAACTAAAACCTGCATTTACATCTAAAGTTATGCTGAAACAATTGGTGACAATGACAGGGCGGGCTGCTGTTAATGGCAACTTGGGGACTGACTGACAAAGAGTAAGGGGTCATTGAGGGAGTCAAGGCAGAGTTGCTCGCCCTCCTGTTCCATCCCCTACCCCCATCAAATGGCACTTAAAGATCTTGAGACGTTCATGCAAATTAGCTGGCAACCTTTCTTTGTTCCCCAAGAAATGGCCTGAATTTCAAGCTCAGTTTGACTGTCTGGGCTTGCTCTTTGGTTTCAATACAGCGATACTGGGGACATTGCTGTGCAGACAATCCCTAGCTGTGAGGACCGTCCTGTGCATTGTACAATATTTAGCCACTTCCCTGGCTCTAACTCACTGAATTCCAATAAGACCACCAGCGCCAAAAGCAAGTTGTAACAACCAAAGCTGTCTCCACATATTGCCAAATGTCCCCTGGGGGGACAAAAGTCAGTGACGAGCCACTGTGATAGCGAGCTTTATCACAGAATGAAGGTAATTTCAATTCGGACTTCATGAGAACAATATTTCAAGAAGTTTCAGGCCATCCATTTTAGCCCAAAAGACAAAATAACCCCCCAAATGGAGCACTATTATAGCTTTCCCATTGAATTTCTTTTTATATAGTATATAAATGTTTGAAAAGCATATATCTGTGTTTTATTTCAGTTTCATTTTGTCAGAATTACTCTGAGCACTTTGTGGTGTAGGAGTGGATTCCAAAGGCAGGGAGTGGAATCTGTAAGACTGTGCTGACAGAAAATGAGTGTTTGATTTACAATGGTCCAATTTGTCATGGCTCTCCAGGAATT